GCGGTTACTCGAGGTTCGGGGATCGAGTGCTCGATTCGCTCCGGAATCGGCGTACACTGTCCACGTGATATCCGCCGCCCATAAGAAGATCACATTCGCGTTCGCGGGCCCGGCCGCAGGCCGCGCAGGCGGCCGCGGTGAAGTAGCCGCGCAATTTCGCAAAGCACCGTAACCGTAATTACTGTTATTGCAGGATATTTAATACACGGGGGCACGTAAAAAGCCGCGGTCCACCCCTCCGGATCGACCTCGCGGCCGCGTGGAGCGAGTAACACGAGCCACGAGATATAACCGCTCTCGCGTATAGCCGCCAGCTACGAAGGACGAAACATGCCCGGGGTGTGCTTTCGCCTTTATAAATAATAAATTCGCGCAGGAAACGGGCGAAAAAATTGACGAGAGACAGAGAGAGAGAAGGGGGGAGGTAGGGTAAGGGGAAGAAATAAAATTGAACGAAGAGGAAGGAGAGAGAGAAGCGAAGCGGGAAAAAAATAAAAATATGCGACGAAGAAGAGCACGACGCGGCCGATACATCTACTGGTAACTTTACCATAAACAACATTCCTCACGCTGAAAAACGGATTTCGATAACTTTATAGGGAAACGTGGAAAAAGCGAGGTTAAATTCGATTCAATTAAATTCGTCGCGAATGCAAGACAACAGTTTGCAAATAATTTTTCGAAACGAACAAGCGAACGAACGATCATTCCAAATTTGTCAGTTCCCGTCAGTAAATTAATTTTTACCGTGCACGCGAAAATACTAACTGTGCTGCGACCTGGCGCCGCAATGGCGACTCACTTGCCAAGTACACCAATGTGATGTAGACAATTTTTTAATATTTAATCTTCTATGTAACGTCCTTACGTCTAAAAAAAAAACCAGACGTGATCGCGTTGTAAAACACATGAATAAACAATTAATTATATAATTATACGTAAAATAAGTTTGTACTCACCAGTCGCTGGCGTCGCTGCGTTGTAGTCGCTCTTGCCGCTCGTATTTTCCAGTCATCGTGCTAAAAAACAATAATATTGAATAAGTTTGAAGATCGAGCTATTCACTTAATTTAATCGACGTAAAACTCATTACGGATGCAGTCCACTTAATGCTACAAATACTGCAAAGCATTTAATTGACCGATCGAAAGAAAGAATTTTTACTAATTGATCAATCAAAAATAAGTACTTCAATAAGTTTGTAATACCAAGGATACAATTCATTTAGCACTCACAACGCTCGCGAGCGTCACTTGTCCTTGTTTAATAAACAACAAGGATAAAAAATTAATTCTATGAACGTTGCGCCAAGTGGAACGCCTTTTATAGAAATTCGATATTAGTACCTGCCAATTAATCACTAATTTTAATTATTTGTTATATAATAAAGTATTTATTACATAAATTATTTTTTAATTATATTAATATATTGTTAACAGTACTTTTAAAATAAGTGATTAATTCGCTAGTAGTAAATTTTATATCTATTATCTATCAAAAGTACTGTCAGTAATACTTTTAATAAATACTCAAAATAAAAAAAAGTGATTAATATATTATCCAGTAATAATATTAAATAAATTTCCTAGAAAAGACAGTCAGGTAGACCGTCTACTTCAAAAAACGTTATTCGCTTGTTTGTAACAATCTTACCCGATACTCGGATATAACGTCATGACGAATCGAGAATATATATTTACATTATTTATGGCGACGCAAAACTAAATCGTACCAAAGCTAGATTCCAGTCTATCCTTTCAAAGTCACGAAAATAAGCACTCACCCGCGATCACAAAAACGGCACGCATCGGTACGACACATACGATCGCAATTACACGAATATGACAGTCGCCCGATACTTCGGCACTCTCTCGACATTTTGTTCAGCGCTACATAACTAGAACGACGCGACGTGGTAACCGCAATCGCGTACGCGAATTAAAACGTCACGCTACGATCGGTTAGTACTTCACCTTTCTGTTACTTAGCTCTTTATTTACAAGCTCGACGTTCATTCAAACGCGTAATTCACGACGAGGAAAAGACACGGGAGCACTTCTCGCGCCGATTACGAATTATTGCGACGCGGCGTGAAAACTGTTATGGCCGCGCATGCGCATTCACGATACGTTTGTCGTTCGCGATAAGTCTTGCTCGCGAAAAGTTTGACCGGCAGCTTGTTGATGCCGTTTCATGGCGAGGCTCGACCGCGATTGTCGAACGAATATGACGTACGATCGCGCGACAGTTCGTTTGGTATTTCCGGCACTGTACGGACGCGAAACTCACACTCGGCGATGCGGAAAACGAGAAAATCGCGAAGAGCGCGACGCGACACGATCGCCGCGGCGCGAAACTGTCATGGCGACTGCGCATGCGCGCGCGAAATCTTAATATTATAAATAACGATTTGATACTCCTTGCTCTCAATAGTTGCTTTTTATTTTCACACATGTGATACGAGTCAAATTTACGAGTCTAAAATTGTGTGAGTATTTTATACTCAGATAATGATGGCACTATTTAATTGCTTACTTTGGTGACAAAATTGTCGCATGTAACAACATAAGTTTTAATTTGAATTAACAAGACTCACAATCAGTAAAGCACACGATCTCGATCTTATGTATTATAGACTGTATAGGTTGATTTGTTAGAATGAAAAGGAATGTGCATTTAACTGAATTTTGACGTCACAAATAAAAACTATCTGAGTTTTGATATATAAATGGAAAGCAATTGGAAACAGTTATTTTATTGCGCCAATATATGGAATATTTTGTATATTATATAAGTGCGAATAAATTTCGTGCTGATGTACCTTTTCCAAACGATAAACTTGTCAGATTTTGTTCCGCTTCGCAATTGATTATAAATTGATTTTCTATCACCAACTGATTACATTATCGAGAGATTACGTGGTAAAATTAGCTGAAATTACCAATTTTATCGACTTACGATATCATTACCTGATGCTTTCGGTAATGCGAATTTCTGCAGTATCTTATTGTCGATATATTGAGTAACTATATTTTAAGTGATAAAAAGTCTTGTGACATGATAGGCGTGTTGTATACATATCTACGATAAAAATGTTGTAATCCTCGTTTCTCACAAACGATCTAAACATCATCGGTAAGAAATTCAGAATAGAATCACATTGGAATCTTTTCGAGATCGAAGGACCGACCTAGCTTTAACGTCACCAGTGAATGTTTACATTCTCGATTCGTCGTTGATGTATATTGGAGCATCAGGTGAGATTATTGCAAACAAGTGAAATAACATCGTTGCACGTAACGAATTTTACATGGACCGAAATAAATAATATTCGAACTTTTAAACTGTTTTATTACAATCATCTTTTATTGTTTCTTAAAAAGGATAATGATGTTAAATAATCTCATGTTAACCTATGAAATAGTCATCATATTTATATTACTGCGTAATAATTAATTTACTTGCTAATTTACTTAAAAATTGTTTGTTTTTTTTTTTAATATCGTATCTTTTTGCACTTGTGAAGAACTTAAATGCAATAATGGGTAATGCGGGAAGCAATCAGCCTGTCGGTCATCATCACGGCACTACAGCAAATAGAGAGCGACATAGCAAAGATCATCCTCCACCCTCTCCAGGAAAGGAAGGCCAGGCGTTCGTTTTCGACAAAAAACCTAGCCAGAAGCTTGTATTTCAGTCCTCCCACGAAGAAGAAGAGTCATACTTTGCAAAAGTAATGTTGAGAGATATCAAAATAATATTTATATACATGTAAAAATATGTTTTACATATATGTTATATTCATATTACTTGTTATTTTATTTGGCTATGAATAGACCGGCCAACAGGATGGAGAAGACTTTGGATCGCAACGTCCAAGATCTAACACAGTATCTGAGGGTACAAAAGTTGCAGACAATAAGGTGCTACCAACTGTTTTCAAGTGGGAAGGAGGTGGAAAGCAGGTATATATTAGCGGGACATTCACTGGATGGAAAACATTACCAATGGTAAAGAGCCATGGAGATTTTGTCACGATAATTGATCTACCAGAAGGAGAACATCAGTATAAATTTTTCGTTGATGGAGAATGGAGACATGATCCTGGACTGGTGAGTGTTACATTTCTTTTAACAGCTTTATGTACATTATTTACAATGTATCTGTACTTCGTATATTATGTGTTGCATATTAAATTTAGAGATTATTGTTTTAATGTTATAGAAAATTGTAGACAACGGCATGGGTTCCAAGAACAATTTAGTTTCTGTAAGGAAGTCTGACTTTGAAGTATTTCAAGCTCTGGCAAAAGACAGCGAAGGTGTTACCAGTAGCACTCAAATGGAGTATGGTCAAGAAATACCACCGCACAAACCTTGGGAGAAAATAACTGGGCCACCTATCTTGCCGCCACATCTGCTACAAGTTATCCTTAACAAGGACACGCCATTATCCGTAAGTTAAATAATAAATATATAATATATATTTCGACGCGAAAATTAAATGAGACTTCTTCTGCCATCATATATTTTTTTTTCCAGTGTGAGCCTACTCTTCTACCTGAACCAAATCATGTTATGCTGAACCATCTTTACGCTTTGAGCATTAAAGACAGCGTGATGGTCCTATCAGCCACACATCGTTATCGCAAAAAATATGTTACAACTTTGCTTTACAAACCGATTTAAATGTCAAGTCATTTCCGCGTTTGTTGGTGTTGTACATTTTTTAATTATCCTGAAATAACACAGGTGCCCAAGTGACACCATATTAATGCATAAGATTTTTATGAGCTTCTTTGAGGCAAGGTAGAAGATTATAATATTTAGAAATGGTTGGTTCGTCGCTATGTTTATTATACCTCAATTATGTGTATAATAATGTAATTACTATTTATTAAAGCCAGATATTTTATATTTGCTTTTCTCGCTATTATCAACAAATGGAATCCAAGGTAACAGGAATTATTTCGAAATATGTATCTTGAAAGAATATGATTGTATATAATTTTCATTTAGATACATTATTGTTGGTTACTTCTGATACATGCGCATAAGGCGGATCTGATCTCGTTTTAAGAAAATATAGACCCTCGGCGGTATGTTCAACATGTTCTCCCATGAGTACTACTTGCGAATTGTCACATTTGCCGCTTAAGTATGAGTCCCAGTTGTCGCATTTCTTAGCCAGTAGTCCTGTTTTCGAATTTATACTTTCCGTAAAGTATGCATATGACCGCCCATGACTGCAAGCCTCTAAAATAAATTGAAAGAATAGGATATTTCTGTTACAAATATCTGCGCTAACGATGGAAATACTTTACCCATTATTTCAGGAACGCAGCAGCATCCGGGCTGAATCGCTGTACCAGCGTTTGGATAAAAATCTGCTTTTCCAAGCGGTTGAAGAAAGCCTAACACACCGCCACAGGAATGTATGACGTCGACGAATACTGCATCTGTGGGATCCAAGCGAGTTTTCTCGGAGGCGAGTATGTGGAATCCCGGCAATGCTGGATCCAAACCTGTTACTCTGCTCAATTTCCCGGAAGTCGTCGCACCGCCCGCATTCCCAGCCACGTGTGCACCAAGGGAATGACCTTATAAATCAACGGCCAATGAAATTGCGACTTATAAATAAAAAATAAATAATATTGTATTAGACAAGACAGTATACCGATAAAGTGAACGTCTTCCGTTTTCAGTCCAGTCTCTTTCACTAAGAAGTCTATAAAGTTGGCGGCGTTAGTCCCGACCCTTGCGGTGTTATGCATCGGTCCCAAATAAAATGTGCTCGCAGCCAACGGTTCCCAGTCCACAAGGATGACGTTGTAATCGCCGTGAGTGAGAAAAGCTGCTCGAAAGAGAAAATTATCCATTTCGCTAATAAATTAAGACTGAATTTGTAAATCAATTAGACAAGCTACCTTCTTTCATGTTGATAAGACTGGTACTCATGGCGCTCGACTTCCATCCGTGAGTTATGAATTTCGTTTTTCGCGAGGGTTTGAAGTCGGAACCAGCAAGATTCGAGGTGTCATTTAGAGTCACTCGTATACCTTTTTCCGGATTAGATCTTAAGAATAAGAATATTATGGAAACCATGGTTAAATGAATAATGAAAGAGAATTAAGGTGTGAATTTTGTTATAAATAATATTTATTTATTGGACTTGTAATTAGATACCGAGTGTAAATTATGTAAGCTATTTCTGAATTTAATACGCCTCTCCTTTCATTGTCTTGGATTTTTAACACTGCTACTTGAGGCTGTCCATTGCCGTCAGGCATAAAAATCCAATCCTCTCCGTAGCCATCGTATCTTTGGCGCAAACCGCTGTCCCATTGTTGCGAATAAACAGAATATCGCAATATAACAAGAATGAAGATTTGTTTCAACACTAGATTCGGTAACATCTTACTGCGGTACTTAATATCGTTATGAGCAAAGAATTGATTGCGAGTCGTGCAGACCTCGCATTAAAACTATGAACAATAGTCACAGCAACTAAATTACTGATGCCGCAAAACGGAGACTCCTTTTTAAATCCTAGCGGTATCATGATAAGACGCTGGTACCCTTTCGTTTGGCCTAGTTTTTCTTGTTTTATCTCGCATGTTGTATCGCAAGCGCGGAAGTACTGTCAAGCGGGGGATTATAATTACATTCAAAAGGGTACAGGTTTGTACTGAAACAAATAATGTGCAATCTCGTGCGTGCATATCGCGGGCGACGTTAAAATCAGCGTCGAAACGGGCTAATTAACCGATAATTTTACAAACATCGTAAAGTAACTCAGTATTGCGAATTATTTGCATTACTTTTCTGATACGTGTATTTTAAACAATGCGAATCACACTGAATAGATAATCACTTGCTCGATACAATTTGTATTATTCAAAACAAATACTACAGAAGTAATAAATGTGAAGGGATAAAGAAATTAAAAAAAGGTATAATATACAGAGTGTCTCATAACCACAATACTTTCACAAAGCGTATTCTAAAGATAAGACAGAGCAAAAAATCCTGACAGGAAAATGTCGAGGTCACAATTGTTTTTTAATTATAACCGATCAAACAGCCAGTAGTATATCGCGAAGAGTCCGTGCGCTCAGCTCGTAGTTACACGCACATCGATTCGATACTGCATTCACAGTTAATATTGAATTTTTTTTTATTCCACAAATAAGTACTATAATAAGAATATATAATTTCATCAAATGAAGATTTGCAATTTAACAAATATTTAAATTATTGAAAAAATATGGGCCATTTAATCTTACTTTGACTTTATTTATTAATACATGCTTACATCCTATTATCGATAAAAGCGCGTTCTGGATACGGGCCAATATAAATATTATCATAAGCTACAATTTGTTTCCTTATTTTTCGTATATTTTAGAACTAAAATACACGGGTAAAAACACACTTCACATAGATTACATTTAAGAATTTTAAAACGTTATCCATACGTAACTATTAAAAATAAAGTAGAATGGTAAGATCTCTCAGATTCATATTCCTTTTTAATGTTTTCTGAAATGAAAAAAAAATATATATTTATCAGATTATATTTTCATTAAGAAAGAGAGAAAAAGACTACTTACTTTCTTCACTAACGATAATAGATTTTTTAAACTGGTTAGACTGAACACTAAAACCTATAAAAGGTACTTTGGGGAATAATCTTTTAAATATCATTGGTTCTACATTAGTTGCATTATATAAATATCTGCGAGCCGTGCATATGAACATAAATCCTATAGAATGTTTCTTTAATTTCACTTCGTCCTTAAATAACTTTAGTTTTGCTTCGATTCGCTCCTCTGTAATACAATCCTCTTTTAAAATCGTGGACCACGTCTGTATAGAACCAGTAATCAGGATACCAAATGGTCCTATAAATAGTTGGCGCCAACTATTCCAAGCATATCTATGTATGAATGTAATGCCTGATACAGTACTGCATATAAAAATTGCATTTCGTATGCTAAATATATGAAAAAAAATAAACATGTGTTAGCAAGTTGAAAATTGTTGTATAAAAGTTTAACAGCTCTAAATAGTAAACTCTGATATGTATTACTGCTCGAATTAAATATACATTATACCTTTTTTGTATGGCTAATTGCCAAAATGCTTCTCTATAGACCAAATAATCACAGAATATTAAAAAACATGTAGATATTTCGTGACTTGGCATAGATTTAACAATTGTATTCATCATCTCCCGATATGCGATTGTTTCCCAATAAAGTGACTTCAATTGAAACGATTTTATTCCGACATTTGGAATTTGTGGCAAAAACATGCATGCTATGTTTGAAATTGGATGCCGACTCATCTCTTTATCAGCAACAATAAATGTACAATCATAATACATAGTCTCATAGCCCCCAGTTTGCAAAGTGGGTGTAATACGGGCTCCTTAAACACAAACAAAACATTGATTTTAACAATTCCAGATTATTCTATAACTTACAGAGAAAAATAAACAAAAGGACTAGTATCAAAATGATATTAATATATTCAAAAAGTAGTTTATCACAATTTAAAATAAAATATTTACTTGCTACTTGTTGATAAGGTTTTCCTATTTATATAATTACTTATTTATCATATAAGTGAATATAAAAAATATTGAACATATATACCTTTTTTATAATAGAGTCTTCTATCAAGAAAACAAAAACAGATTGATGATTTAATTCTCAGATTCTCGAGTGAACGTTTGAAACTATAAAATTTATTATAAGGCTTTATTATAATGCAAGGACCTCTTGTTAATTTCTCATTATTCGCAGCTTCTAACCAAGATCTTAAAACAATATAAAATAAAATATAAATTAATAGAACAGCTCAATTGAAATAAATCAAATAAAGGTAATAACAAGGGCTACGAGCCAATTAAAATTAATAACGTTTAATATTTAAAACTAGATTAGTAAAAAGTACAGACGTTTCGACGCCGATCGGGTCATTCTCAATGTTAGAATAATGTTACAATAAATGTCGGATTCTTCTATTACAAAAACAATGTTCTGTACGTTATAAAGTAGATTAAAAAAAATCTAGATACGTATCAAGTGCTTATGTCTTCCTCCTTTATTACGAATACATGGTCTATTGAGATATTAAAAGTGAGACGTTGAAATCGCTCAATATAATCGGGTCGTGATAACTCGTGATATTCGCATTTTTCTTCTATGAAAAGCAATCTTTTTTAGTCGAACTGTTGTGAGTCAAAAATTAAAAGAGTAATGCAATGGATACAAAAATTTTATAAGCCAATGTGCTGTATTAGAGCAGAGAAACTCTATCGGGTTACCCGTTACGGGTAGCATCGATAGTATCAGATAACGTTATGATAAGCACTTGATACGTATCTACATTTTTTAAATCTACTTTATAACGTACAGAACACTGTTTTTGTAATAGCAGAATTCAACATTTATTGTAACATTATTATTCTAACATTGAGAATGACCCGGCGTCGAAACGTTTGTACTTTTTACTAATCTAGTTTTAAATATTAAACGTTATTAATTTTTATTGGCTCGTAGCCCTCGTTATTACCTTTATTTAATATAAAATAAATATTTAGAGCACATTAAATAAATATATCAGCGCTAACTACCAGTGATACACGGTGGCCTGAACGGAAAGCCTAACATGTATCATCGGTGGTAGACGTGGCACGGAACATTTTAAAAACATGACATGAAATGTAACAAAAACGTTATTTGTAACAATTATAAGTTAAATCTTGTTCGTAATCCATTCAAGTGCATGCTACAGAAATTACAACGATTTACTTGTATTAAATAATTAATAAATGTTTAATGAGAATTTTTTGCGCGGTTGTTAGTGCGAAAATAAAAATCGTTTATTGTTGAAAAACTGTAGTATAATTATAGTTACGCATAAACGTTTCGGCCTGCTTCCGGGCCATCATCAGTATGTCTGAACGTATGTTGTTGAAAAATGCTCATTTTTTCATAGCAAGACGACAGAATGGCAACTCAATCTCCTTATTCTATTGGCATGTGTGGTTGACAATTTCAGTGGCAACGAATAACAGATAAAAATCTGTGCAGATATCAAAAACGTTACTAATTATTTTTTATAACATACTGATGATAGCCCGGAAGCAGGCCGAAACGTTTATAAGTAACTAATTATACTATAGTTTTTCAACAATAAACAATTTTTATTTTCGCACTAACAACAAAAAACTCTCATTAAGCCCTTATTGTTTTTGTTTTTTTATATTCTCAAGAGTTTGGTTACTTGTTTTATTTAATGTTTTAATTATATTTAATCGAGCATGAATCATCGATTGACCACAGCCCGATTCACGTGTTCGGAATCATTTCATCCTTGTTACTTGTTAAAGTTAAACAAGTACTAATGATGTTTACAAGCGTTGTAAATTATTGTGAGTTATTGAGGCGTCGGATGGCTCGGTGATCGGTCCGCGGACTAGCAATCCATGGATCCAGGTACGATCCCATTTGCGCCTCACGCAGAAGCAAATTTTCTTAAGTATGTATACATACCTGCAAACCATTGCAACGCTCGCGAGGTCCTTGCCATTTAAGTATTGGAAAATAAGTCTAAGAATATCGTATGGTATAAAATTCAATACGCTTTCATCGCTCCGCGTTGCATCTGCATCGTATTTAAACGTACTAAGTTTTTTTTTTTTAATTTTCTTTAATGATCTCTCCATTGATCTTCTTTGGTTTGAAAGATATCTCGTCCGTAGTCACTAATATTTCACATGCGACTAGTTTGTTACCTGATTGACTCTTTGGTCTAGTATATTCTAGACCGAAGAGTCATTCAGGTAATATTTTTTCCTAGGGTAGAAATGTGAAAAGCAAAAATTTTTTGTATGTATATATGTATATACATATACACACATAATATTTCACATGCGACTAGTTTGTTACCTGATTGACTCTTTGGTCTAGTATATTCTAGACTGAAGGATCACTCAGGTAATATTTTTTCCTAGGGTAGAAATGTGAAAAGCAAAAATTTTTTGTATGTATATATGTATATACATATAAACACATACATAAAAATTTCCACTTTCATTTCATTTTTTCGTCTATTTAAAATGGTTCAAAAAGTCTTTAAAAATTTACGAACATATATCCTCAACTTTCTAGATAAATGTTTAAATTTCATTTGGAAAATAATCATGGAAAATAATAAAATGTATCTAATTTAATTCGTTAAGGCGATGCTAAAGCCTCCTGTTTTACCACATTTCCATTCGGTGAAAAATCTCTGTATTAATATTTCATGTCACATATCATAGTCTGATATTTCATGTGTCAAGGTATATCCACACAAACTTGCATAGCCGCATAAACGTATGCATAAAGAAAATTATCCAATCACATTTTATGTACGACTTTAAAAGAGAACTGCAATTGGATAATTTTCTTTATGCGTATGTTTATGCGGCTATGCAAGTTTGTGTGGATATACCTTTACTCAACGAGGCTTTTCAAGCTTGTTGATTGGCTACAAAACAAAGAGGTTTTTGAATCTCTCTATCCTGCAGCCAATCAACGTGCTTAAAAAGTTTTTCGACATATAAAATATCAGGTTAAGGCTGATATCACATTTGTCATACGACAAATTTTTCAAAAGTGTTAATTGGCTGCAGGACAGATTTGAAAAAAAAAACATCTTTGTCCTACAATCAATCAACAGGCTTGAAAAGCTTGTACGACAAAAAACGGATGAATGTAATATTAGTCTAAGGATTAATATAGGGTACCTTCCATTTAGTAATCAAGAGTCAATACAAGTACGATTCTGTCTTTGTTACTCATGAAATGCAAAGAAAGATACAATGATATTTATGTCGACTTGTGTCACTAAATGGGAGGCACCCATACACATACAAACAAATTATATTACTAAAATCCCAATTTTTCAACAATTTTTACGATCTTCTGTATGATATACATATTGCACTAAATACGATATAGGAGTGACAAATAAATCGACAAAGGTTGCTATTTCTATAAGTCTTGCTGCATCTTCCACATATTTCGCTATCCGGGAAGAAACACGAAAGAATAAAAAAATAAAAACATAGTACGAATATATAATAATATATTATTATAAGTCACAACTTGTTTCCCCTTACTCTTCGGTAACATCATTTTAGGACTCATACAAAACACATATTTGCAAATTACATCTAAAAATAAAATACAAATCTTTATACTCAGATTTATTGCTTCGTTATACTGCATATTTTGTTCTGTGAATATCGGAGCACCATTGCTTTCAGATCTCGTTAATAAAAAAAAATTGGTAAATACAAGACCTAAATCTAGTAATGCACGAGTGATAAAATATGTTGTAGCACATAGCATTCATACGTGTCTTTTTTCAAAACATCAACCATATGTAAGTATCAAAAACACAGTAGAGAATTCGTTAGACCAAGACTTCGATCTCTTACATTTACATTCCTCGATGTTTTCTAAAACAAAAAAAAACCTATATATTGACTTATTTTCGTTAAACAGATATTTTCACTAAGAAAAAAAATTACTTACTTTCTTTGTTTACTTCATCAACGATAGTGGATTTTCCAAATTCGCCATAACCAGAACAACCTACTAAGGGTACTTTGGGGAATAATCTTTTAAATATTGTAGATTCTACATTAGTTTCGTTATACATTTCGTTTCCACGAGCTATGCACATGAACATAAATCCTATGGAATGTTTTTTTAACTTGACTTCATTCTTAAATAACTTTAGTTTTGCTTCCGCTTGCTCCTTTGTACGATTCTGTAAAACAATGGACCACGTCTGTATAGAACCAGTAATCAGGACAGCAACACAAGATGGTATATCCATTCTATGAATTATTCTATGTCTTGTTTGTCTTTTGTACAAACTATCATCATTTTCTATATGTTGTGCGTAAAGATCTTCCAAAACACCACCCCATACAGAAACTATTTCATTTTCTTTGCTGAATATATGCAAAAAGAAATAAATATGTATTATCAAGTATCAGCCATTGTTATATAATAGTTGGACATAATAATTACTTGGATATATGTATTGCTTGGATAAAATATAAATTATACCTTTTTTGTATAGCTCTGGCCCAACGTTTTGCTGTTGTACGACCTTTCAAATTACAGAATAACATAAAACACGTTTCGTGATTTGACACTGATGTTTCACGATTGACAATTGTGCTCATTATCTCCCGATATTCGGCTGTGTTCTGTATACTACTATGTTGTGCTACTTTAAATGATTTTATTCTCACGTTTGGAATTTGTGGCAAAAATGCACATACTATATTTGGATATGGATCTTCCATTTCTTTATCCATAATAATATCTCCACTATATAATATTATAATCTGACAATGTCCAGGTAGTAAAGTCTCTATGTGCTCTTAAACAAAAACGAAAAATTGATTTTAACAATCCCAGATTCTATGACTTTGGAAAAAATAAATAAAAAGAATAGTATTAAAATGGTATTAAAATAATCAAAAAGTAGTTTGTCATAATTTAAAATAAAATATTTACTAGCTACTTATTAATAAGGTCTTCTTATTCCTTTTTTTTAATTACTTATTTATAATCTAAGAGAATATAAAAAATATTAGATATATACCTTCTACATCGCGTGGTGTATTTTCAGGAATAAAAAAGAAACCGGCTGATGGTTTAATTCTTAGATTTGCGACATTTAAAATATCTACAAACTGTTCATAACATCGTATAAAGCAACAAGGGCCTCTAGTCCATTTCTCATTATTTACGGCTTCTAACCAGGATCTGAAAAGAATAATTTTATGCTTAAATTTTTATGTTGTGTTCAGCTAATAATGTATGTACTTTCATTTGCAGTACAGACAATAATGTAAAATATCAATAATTTTATCATGATTAAACATTTAAAGACATAACATGAAACATTGTAAACAGAATGTAACTCAAATCTTATTTGTATCCATTCGCGTGTATGTGATAAAGGAACTACAATCATTCTACTTACATCAAATATAAGCGTTTAAGATTACATCAAGCAAGAATTATTAACGCATCATCAATATGTACCTGCAAACCCTCGCAGCGCTCGCTAGGTCTCTGGCATTTAAATATTGAAAAACAATTCTCAAAATATCGTAGGTTAGGTAAGTACTGGAATCCAATATACTTTCATTGCTTTGCGTTGCACTATCATTGTTTTCGGATGTACTAGGTTTTTCCTTTCGAGGTTTTTTCTTTCGTACTGGATTCTCCATTAATCTTTTTCAATTTAAATCAATCGCTTGTCAAAATATCACAGTAAAATAACACAATGCAACACCACCGTGAAAGTAGTACTAAAGAGCGTAAATCGCAATATGTACCAACGTGCACCGTAAACACAGTAGATATGTGTATCGCGTGTCGTGTGTGTACGTATATATGCATATATATAAAATAAAATGATTGGAGAGGGTATCTATCAACAAGACAAGTCGGAATAGATTCAGATTGGTGTTTTCCCTAGCCACATGACTACGTTCAACAGAGAAAACTAGCGCTTAGTGATTCTTCAATATGATTGGTTTCTACACTTAGATCCAACCAAAAACTAAAGGAAAGAACCAATCATATTAAAGAATTATTAACGCTTAGTTTTTTCTGCTCAAAGCAACAAATAGAATCTGGGGAATAATTGAATAATTTCGATTATAATCCATTTCAAATAATTCTACGATATCCAGTTTTCCGACTGTCTCAAAACAACTGACATGACATTTGTTTGATATCAAATGTTCGATACATGAATATCAGATACTCAGATTCTATTATCTAGAAATCTAGAACTCTAAGAAATGAATAACAATGTGCTACATATATATACATATATAGAACATTGTTTTGTTAATTATCATTCTAATTTCTTTACATACAGGTCTCGATCTAAGCCTGCATAGTGTTTATTTTTATCATTTTTAAAAATTAAAATTAAAGAAAGTATTACACGAATCTTTTATAAGTATATAAAAGTTTATTAAGATAACAAAAAAAATTTATAATTACAAGATAATCTTTGACATAGATGTATTACACATCAGTTGCTTGAAAATAACTTTAACCAATTAAATGTACCTGAATAAAAAGTTAAATTATGTTTGGCATCGTTATAATACCCGGTTGAATGTATGATATCGACATTGACACATATGCTAATACTATTTGAGAACCTTTCGCATCCTGTTGTAGGCGATTTAACTCAACAGGTTGTAGGATCGAATCTTCTTTTCTGCAATTTTTTAATTGGGATTTATTAAACGTTAATATTTGTACAGATATACTTTTTTAATTACCAGATAATACCTTATCACTACCAGGCTGTACAATGGTTGACCAGGATTTGCCTTTTTATAATGATGTGTACAGGAATACACATTATAAGATATCTTATATTTGCTCTTTTTCCTTCTAACAGTTCTTTCTGGCGCTGATTTTATTATAGCGAGTTTATTAAAAATTTCTGTCATTGAGGATACGTTTCTCGGACTGACTAAAGGATTGAGAAATTTTACGACTTGCACTTCGGTGCAATCTTCCTCACTTTCGTTCAAATTTTTACAATCTTCATCGTCGATTGTAATGGTTTTTTCTTCAAACCATCTTTTCTTTAATTCGGTCCATGAACTAGTTCCTAGACGTGTCGTAAAGGAAGGTCGATTAATAATCTCGTGACCGACTAGACTATTAGCATCATCGTGTCGTCGTCTTGCAACAGAATGTGTACTGCTGTGCATCGACGCGTTTTCAATCATTCTCCGCTGAGAAAATCTTTGCTGCCATAAAATATTCTGATAGAAATTATGTCGGAGTTGATTCTCCGTAAAAAAATGTCTAGTTCGATACCCTTCTATAATCGGTATCATGAAATTGTTCATCTGTATGGTGTAACTTCTTTGCTGAACAGTGTTCCCATGGTTACCAAAGGCGACAAATAAATTATGAAATACATTCTGCGTGACCCTATTCTGCAGATAAACGTCTGGAAAGTAATTAAACGGAAATCTATATGCGTAAGGCAAGCTAATATTCGTTCCATGCATTTGATCTACGGAATAAAAAGATCGCGATGGACTACGTAAGAGTGAACGTTGATTTTGAAAGGAAGCGTTTCTGTTATTAACTGCAAGAGGACTCCTAGAGTGAGACGCGTTTTGTCTCGCATTACTTCTATCATTTTTGCAATTCTGTCGCGCTCGTTTGTCGTTTTCTTGCATATTTAAAATCATCGTTCGATTGTATTGGTATGTGCTCTTCTGAGGCCTTATATTGTGCGGTATATATCGCCTGGAAATTTTCTCGTTAATTTCCGATTGGAAGGCAATATTTGGTAGCAGATTTAACATTTCCATTCTTGTCATACAACGTGGTAATTCCTGAACTTCATCATCAGATAACTCAATCACCTAATTAAAGAGAGAAAAAATTATTGACAAATTCTTTGTACTATACATTAGTATACATATTTGAGAATATCTTACCTCATGTTTTGACTTTTTCGCATGTAACTCATCAATTTGCGAAACTGCCTTTCGCTTCTCTGGATTCCTGGAATTTTCACTGGTGTCAGAATCGATTATAGAAATTTCTGGAAATGATACTTTATCGTTTCTTTTAGGCAACTGCTTCACGTTACGTTGAATGCGAGCACCCGGCCATGATACTTTACACGATGTGTCTCTGAGAATTTTTATATTGCCTAACAAAGTTTCATCGGAAATTATTTCTGGTTTAGAATGTCGATTTTTTTCTTCGCTGTTTGCAGTCTTTTCTGTCACATTATTTTCCACATCTCGGGAAGTAACTGGCTCATTTTCATGACGTTTCACAGTATTACATACAACCTGGTCTACTAGATCAGATATTACTTGTTTTACAAATTCTTGTACCGTAGTCTTTTCATGGTCTTCCACATTAAGACTAACAGATTTATCCGATGTTTCCGGCATATTGTTCGTTACAGTTAGTTTTGATTTCTTTACACTTTGCTTGTTTTGTGGTTGGTTATCAGACATTCTCAGTCCATTCTCAGGATCAACAATAATTTTCCGTTTAACAAGAGTGAGATCATCCGATCTATTGCACTTGTCTGACTCTTCATAAAAGTAGCGCTGTATACGGTAGCCGTAACGTGTTAATTGACTATAAACCCTATATTCTTCCAGGGTACATACTGAGTCATCAATCAAAATTTCATATGCTTGCTGAATCGAGCATGATAATCCATTCCAAATGAGTTCAAGGCAATTCTTGAACACATATAAGAGAGTACATTAAATAAATATGGTGTAATAATTGAAGCATTATTAAAAAATATAATATACGAATTATAGAAAACATACTGTTTCTATGAGAAATAACGCCTCTTCTGGTAGCAAGTATAAGGAACCATTTCTTTCCAGACCAAAATTGCTCCAGTCTTGACCAGATCTTTTAGTAACAAGAGCTCGCTTTTGGGATGGTAGCCACTCGGCACTAGCTAATTCTGAAATACGTTCGACTCTCTCGACATTTAACAAATCTTTACGCTTTTTAAGTCCTTTCTCAATCTGAACATTTTGTAGCCAAGAATTATCAGGTTCAAAATGCTTCTTTCCACTTTTAGGTAAAGTCTTTAAAGACCTCTCCCATTCCTCTAGTAAGCAAGTACTGATACCCTTGTTGCATAACAATTCTTTGGCCCTGTTAGTAAAAAATCAATTTTTATTTGACTAATTAATTATCATTAAACATATGTGTTATTATAATTATAATTTTCAACGAAACAAACGCCATAATTTTACTTTAATCAAGATTTAAATTCAAGATTTATTAAGGATAAAATAAATTTTCATTTTTTTAATAATTCTCAAAATTAAAATTTAAAAAAGAGAATAACACACATATGAAGAATAACACGACTTCTTTATATTTGAGCAATGCCAATTAAATCACTAATAACTTTGGTTAGTGATTTTGATGAAGAAACTATTGTAAAAAAAAAATGTTATAAACTATGACTCACGTTAGCGTATTGCACGGTAATTTTTCAGGTGGTTCATCCATCACGGAAAACAGATATCCATCCACAAATATCTACGGGAAACAATGCTACAGAACGTATGAAACGTATTTCGAGATATTAAAATTGCTCTATATTATTTAAAATTGTATACTATGCTTAAATAACAGATATCCACACTGATTCACACCGGCAAAAGATGAATCGTGGCGAGTATATAGTATTCGGCGAGATCGATTCGCGTTATCTTATATACACAATACCTATATTAGACGCGTGATATATTAATTGATCTCAATGTTTGTTCTTTGCAGCTATCTGTACTCCTCTCACGTCTGTCTCTTTCCAATATCTATCTGTATATTCATATTATTTTTTTGATGCAAAGAAGTAGAAAGTAGAATATAATGCAGCTTTAAAGAACACACCTTAAGTTATGTTTGCAATTCCCATCTTTCCTCTCTCTTCGGGAGCTTTCCAACAAGCGACACTAGATGCGTTCAGAAAACTCAACAGTTGAGAGAGCGCCCGCTGCTATTGATGTATTCTTTCAGATCTAAAATGCTGATTGGATGATCTAAAAGAATACACCAATAACAGCGTGCGCTCACTCAACTGTTGAGTCCGCTGAACGTAGCCATTATTGGAACATGCGACGTGAACAAACCTAGAACGAATAATCGATTATATCTAGGGAAAACAACAGTCATTTCAATGCTAGCAACCTTGCCGTTGTTCACAGACGACAAACGAGGGCTCCGATTTCGATTCCCCGCACGTCTCTACTGGTCTCCACTGTCACCAATTCACCAGTAACAATAAACTCCAAGTTTGTAACGTTCGTAACGAGCCACTCCTCTTGCTGGTGACTCCACGCGATGTGTGTAACCGACGTGCCTGACGTCTTGGCTTGAGTATCCTCGTTCCTAGGCGTGTTTGAGTGCGGTGATGCTAATCGTGCGCGACACACGCTGACACGGCGGATTCGACTTGATCAGGAAATCGTGATCCTTAGGTGAGCGCCGATGACACGCGAGTCGAGGAATGTGCGTTTGGGCGTTGACCGCCGCGCGCCGCCTAACCCCGCAAGAGCGATTGTTTCGCGAAATTTTTTAACGTATCAACGGCTACAGCAGCCGAAAAGCGATGATACCGTCTTATTAAATAACACAGAAAATCGACCACGTCTTACGAGTCACACGTATTGCCCATAAAAGGCTGACGTATATATGTGTCAAAAGTTGTATTTATTTACGTTATGGATTTTTAATGTGACTAATACAGAATAGGAGACAATTGACTGTAATTGATACTATGAGGCACGTTCTAATTTTGAGTGTTCTC